CTTAGTGGTTTGGTTGTTTACTGTTACTATGACAGCATCCCTGGACAATTTGCATATTCCTCTATTATTAGTATAGAATAAGAAGAAAATTTTAGATCATAAGACATTCAAATGCAAACACACACAATTCATACCGAATTGGCTGTAGTTGATTAGAGTGTCTTCTACCAAAGTTTTTCTTTCTATCATGTCATAGTGGGTCAAAAGTACCAACAATTTCTCACATGCATAGTGATTGGGCCAATCCATTTTTTCAAGAGTAAATCTCTGTAAATATAATAAAAATAAAATAAGGTTTTCTTATCTCTTGGAGACAAATAGCACTCAGATGATATTATTTTTTCCTTCAGAATGAACATTAAAGTAGTATCACTGACAGAACAATGAGCCTCCTAAAGAGTCAACAGTACATAGTAATTAAGTGTTCTCCATTTGTATGTCAGCATGGTATTTCCTAGATGTTGGGTAAGTTACTTAACTTCTCTCAGCCTCAGGTAAAAATATAACCCAGCTCACAGATTATGAAGATTAAGTCACATTATATGTAATGTGTTTTTTAAAAAAGCAAATTTTATTTATTTATTTATTTATTTATTTATTTTTTATATTTTATTGATTTTTTACAGAGAGGAAGGGAGAGAGATAGAGAGTTAGAAACATTGATGAGAGAGAAACATCGATCAGCTGCCTCCTGCACATCTCCTACTGGGGATGTGCCCACAACCCAGGTACATGCCCTTGACTGGAATCGAACCTGGGACCTTTCAGTCCCCAGGCTGACGCTCTATCCACTGAGCCAAACCAGTTTCGGCTAAAAAAGCAAATTTTAAATGTTCAATAATTGTTTGTTACCATTATTATTTCTGTTGTTGATAGGAATAAGCAAGAAGTAGTTATAATTTACTGAGCCACTGTTTCCCTAGCCACTCTATTAGGAGTTAATATAAATAATCTCATTTAATCCTCATAGTGACTTCGTAAGATAATATTATTTCTATTTTGATAACACATATCCAGTGTCACACAGTGAGTGATAGACTATCCAAATTTAAATTTATGTAACTGATTACAAATCACAATGTTCGTGCAAATTAATATACCAGTACTTGATCCTGACATTCTTTGGTTATCAGCCCCTATCTCCCAATATGCTGCTGAATACAATATATCTGTACAAGGTATTTAAGGTGTTTTCTACCAAACAACATAATTATAATTTGCCTTATGGTCTGCAAAGTACAGTTACTATGTAGCAAAGAAATGAAGACTAGAAATAAATGCTGAAAAAAGCATGGGTGCCAATAGCAGACCATTCAAAGTGATTATCCCTTCTATCTTCCTACTATTCAACTTCATACTGTAAAGAATTTATTTTCAGATACCTGAAACAATAATAAATCAGGTCTTTGGTACCTGATTGCCTTTACCAATTTATCCTTGTTCAAAAGAAATTCTTGAACAACCTAACAAGAGAAAAGAAAATAGGAATTGAGACTTCAAACTTTAAAAAAAAAACCAACTTCTGAAATAAACACACTTGAATTATTAGTTATTACCTCATGGAATGGGAATCCTTCACAACTGCAAGCTTTTCTGAAAATAGATTATATACATGTTGTTAATACAATCAGACTAAAACCATATCTCATCTAATCTCTCATTTAATGAAAAATGTCTGTATAGTATCTCAGTCATCAAGTTTCACTTTGAATAACTATTATATTACCATCTCCTGAAGTGGCCTATGTTTTTAGTAAATTCAAGAAAAGGATTTTGTGAAATGTTATTAATTTAGACATGGGGGAAGGCTATATGGAAACAATTCAACCACAGGTATATAAAATAGGTCATGCCAGAAAAGAATGAGTTAAAAACAAAACTTACTTCTTAATATTGTTCTCTATTGTAATCAGTTGCCTGTCCTGCTCTGTTCGGTGCCATTCACAGGGACAACAGTATTCATAATCATGTGGTTCACAACATCGATCAGTTTGACATAATTTGCATCCATTATGTTCATGATCCTTAGGTGAACCTTTAGGGAGGTATAAGAAAGTATGATTTCCACTGCTTTTTAGAATTATCTTCTATTATACTTTTTTTCTTGTACTTACCCACATTTTCAAAAATGAATACTGCCTAGCACAGTGCCTGGCTTATAGAAGGGTTTCAATATATTTAGGTTAAAGAGAATAATGCACACTATAGTAATCTTTAAGGTGTAGTAGATCCTAAGCTATTACTATCACATGACACTTTGTTTCTGTAAATTCCATTATCTGAAAGTGTTAATTTGTAACTTGAAATTATACATTCATAATAATCAACAATGGAAAAGTTTGTAGTTAATTTGATAGCTAAATTCAAGAAAAGTACGCTATAATTATTAGTATTAAAAAAGATTATTTACTTTATAGAATAATTCATAAACTGTTGTCCTTAATTAAAATATTAAAAGAATACAACAATTAATTACCTCTTTCAGTGTCTATCTCTAAGTTACCTGTATTACTATTTTTAAATTATGCTTGGAACATGAACAAATTATGACTGTGACAAAGATGGGATCCTAGTTCCCTTTAAAAGGAAAGCATGACCATCTTCAACATTGTTTTGAGAATACGGAAGAGCATACACAACTGATATGACCTAAAATTACCATTTATAAGTTATCAAGAAAATATAGAATGGAGAATCTTATCCATAAAAATTTTTTTCTTCCATGATTTCATCTACAATGTAATAATGTTAATGAAAACAGAGTAAGACAAATAGATAAATGCTGTGGCTAGTGTGACTTGATTGGTTGGAGTGTCATCCCTTGCACCAAAGGGGGTTTGATCCCCGAGTCATGGTAGGTATGAGAGGCAACTAATTGATGTTCTTCTCTCTCACATCGAGAAAGACTCTCACTTTCTGTCTCTCCCTCTTCCTCTCTCTCTAAAATCAATGGAAACATACCCTCAGGTGAGAATTAAAAAAAAAAAAAGACAAATACATAAAGCAGAATTTCTTTTAAAAGATGAGCTAACATGATCTCAATCTCTGCTGAAAGTGGAAGACCTTTCTAATCTACTATGTATCAGTGACATCTTTCTTTTTCTTCCAAAACTAATAAAGAGAAACCAAGCTATTTTCAAAAATAATGAACATGTTTTAGAAATTAGTTTCCAGGCACTATCTTCACACAATCAAAACGCAGTATAGGACAATTAAGAAACATTTAAATATATAAGTGTAAATCATTGTTAAAGAAACAAATAGTTTCAATTCCATTTTCCCCAATACTATTAGTGTATTTTTTCCCTTAAAATAGATTTCTATATTAAAAACATAATTTTAAGATCTAAGTAATTTGGATTCATAGTTTGAAACTGTACTTGTTCTATATTTACCATTTATGTCACTTCATTTCATTCAACTAACATTTACTGAGTGCCTATTATGTATATATGACAACTCCTGACTCTGAGGATTCCCAGTCTAGCGGGAAAGATAATATAAAATGTACCTATAAGAACAGGGGTGAAAATGTGGGTATCTGACACTAATACTCCAAGATATCATTCCCTATGTCTGCTTACCTGGATGGGAACACACAGAGCAATGAGCCAGTTTTTTAATAACTAGTGGTTGTTGATTAGAGTTACAAGGTTTTTCTTCACTCCATTGAATAAACCTTTAAAAGAAAATGGCTTTAAAAAGAAAAACAAACACACACAAAAACACCCCCAAGGTCACCAAAGTGCCATGTTCTCAAATATCAGGTTATTCTGTTCCCTTCCAACCTACCAACTTATTTTCCCTTTGGTGGTAGATAAAGTTACTGTCCAAATTAAAAAAACCCGCCCTCAATCAACGTACCTCAATTTTTAGATGTGTTCCCCAAAGATAGAAGAATTCCAACAGGAGAGGAGAAAGAGTGTCAGAGCAGGGGAAAGGGAGAGAGAGAAAGAATGTGTGTGTGTATATTGATATATTCATTCAGCCTTTTTTTTAAAAAAAAAGTATCTTCACTTAAGCATACATGTAGGGAGAATGATTCATATAAATTTGTTTTTTATATCTTTTCTAAGTGCCAGAGTATAAAACAAAGAGAATCATGTACATGAACACTTCTGTATATCAAAATAAGGGTTAAGGGCAAAGTATAACACTAAATAAAACATGGAGTTTCTGGGTAAGAACTGTTTAAAAAATCCAGATCATTTGAAATTGTCATTTTCTTATTCTCCTATCCAAACAGCAAAAACATTACTTGTTTAATGAAAGATTTTAAGAAAATGTATATTACTGTTAAAAGGTCTACTAAATAATAGTTTTTTTAAAAAAATACTTTTTATTGATTTCAGAGAGGAAGGGAGAGGGAGAGAGAGATACAAACATCAATGATGAGAGGGAATCATTGATTAGCTGCCCCCTGCACACCCCCCACTGGGGATTAAGCCCACAACCTAGGCATGTGCCCTTGACTGGAACCGAACCTGGGACCCTTCAATCCACAGGCCAACACTCTACCCACTGAGCCAAACCGGCTAGGGCATAATAGTTAATTTTTCAATACAAGTTTCATGTCAACTTAAAACCACGAAGAGGATAAACATTACCATAAAATATAAGTTCTGAATTGTTCCTCTACTTACAGAAATTAAAGTTCTAATAAAAAACTAAATTATACCTTCAGTTTGCAATCTAGTAACTGGCACTAAGAATTATTATTTAGCTTTTGGAACTTCTAACTCACATACTACAAAGACCAACTTCACGCTTAATAAAATTAGCATTAATTGATGCTGGCTGCTGGATAAATAATAGAGATTCAAATGTTAAAAATAAACAGGGGAAGTCAGTGTAAGCTAATCAAAATTAAAACATAATTATAACAAAAAATGCAATTTCATTACTTTCAAATATCAAGACCAACATTTAATAAAATGTTGCCAAAAGTACAAATTTGCTGAAACTGTTTCAATAAGAATGCCTTGTAGCTGGCCAAAGGCCACATTTGCTTGTTTTTCCCTTTTTGTATGTTTTCACAATTCCCAAATAATTCCTTAACTCACCTCCATGCCAAAGAATACCCTTTTTTCCTGCTTTGACAAAGTAATCACTGATCTCAATAATGAATTTATTGAAGGCTTAGATCTATCAATAGCTTTTCAGCTGAAAGAGAAGTATTGTAGGAAAAAGCACAGTAATTTGAAATTGTTTTCATCATCATTCCTTCTTGATTTCTACAACTTCTGTTTCCTTTCATGCTCTCACCATCTCAAACCTAACTGGAGGCCAAGACTGGTTTAAGTCTCCAGTGTTCTCATTCTTTCCTTTATTCACTCTATTTTATCACCCTTAATATTAATTTTTATAAACCACTGCTTTCATCAAGTAAATCTAGTTCACATGCTTGTAAAACTAAATAGCATAGTTTGTAAATTTCAATATATTCCTTAACTGGTTCGAACCCTTAAATTGTTCAGTCTAAATTAATTTGAATACATATATTCTTAAATGTATGGTTATAGAACAAAGGAAGTCAAGTAAAAGTTTTGATCAAGTGTTACTTATTAAATATTTGTAACAGGTTAGGCATTTCATTTACAAAAATAAATTCAATATCAAAGTATTTTATATTAAAAATGATTTTAAGGATAAAATAAAATATTTTTAAGGATAAAATTATTTTAATGTTACATTATCTTTACTTGGTAGTAAAATAGTCTAAAATAGCCCATAGCAAATGCCCATGGTTATAAATAAACACATTTGACATCTACTTGTGTTTACAGTGAGCTAGTAATATTGAAAAAAATATATAGTATGGCTTAGGGTATACAGGGGTGGGTTTACAGTTATATGTGAAACACAGGAATTTATTCTTGCATTATTATTTATTAACTATTGTATTATTTTCCATATGAACAACTGTAAACCTACTTTTGCCAACCCTTTCTTTGAAAAATTTCAGAATAAAAATAAGTGATTTTCCTGCCTCTGCAGCAGTGCCAAGGACTCCTAGGCGGACATACCTCGAGGGGTCCCGGACTATGAGAGGGCACAGGCTGGGCTGAGGGACTCCCCATCCCCACACCCATCCCCCCCCGCCCCCCCCCCCGCCAGTGTACGAATGTCATGCACTGGTCCTCTAGCATTCACTATAAAATTCAACAAGAATAAAAGTCTGATGTCACAAGAAAACTTAATTTTTAGTTACCTCTGAAGTAAACTTTGCCCTTTCAAAATCTGTATAAGTTTTAATGCTTGCTCTTTTCCAACTCCAGGGACGCCCTTTCAGAAAGGGGGAAAGAAATTCAAATGTTAATCATTAGAAAATGAATAAAGTACATTAAGTCCATTCAAAAGTTGATCATGCAGCTGAAAGAATGTGGTAACTATATAATGATGGAAAAAAATGTGCAAAATACATTGCTGTGTAAGATGAAAACCACAGAATAGCCTATGGTGTGTTCTAGATATGTAAGTGAAGTAACAATTACATTGTTAATCTATTCAAAGGAAGAAAGTCAGAGGATTACATACCAAACCACTGATAGTGTTTGTTTTAGGAGAAGGAAGAACAGAATTTTAGAGGGCGATAGCTTTCTTTGTTAATTATTTGGATAATATTTTTATTTGAGCTAACTTTATGTTATATTTATAATCAGGAAAAAGCATGTTCATTTAATGATATGAAATTTAATATTTAAAGACCCAGATGTCAAAAGAGAACAAAAAAGAGTTCTAAGTTAAGAAAATTAAAATAAGCTAATACCCATTAAGCATAAATTCACATGACAATTTCTGATTTAAGTTGAGGCTTCCAGTTCCTATACAAGTTGATGAATATGTCTTTATAAGCAAGGCTGTTGGTTAGCCAATATACACTAGAATAGATATACCAGTTTTACAATACTCCTCAAGCATCCTGAGTGCCTAATGGCAAACCCTCTTACCTGAATACCCTTCCCAACCCACCAGGATCCTGCTACTAAAATGGTAGCACATGGCACAACAGATGGCAACCACAAGCCTATGTCCTCAGCATACCAGTTGCCAAATATTTTGTGTATCACCCTTCTTGTATCGGCACTTAGCGACATCTTAAATTTTTTGAAGACAAATCATCCTATATAATAAAAGGCTAATATGCAAATCGACCAAACGGCAGAACAACCAGTCGCTATAACATGCACTAACCACTAGGTGCAGACGCTCAACGCAAGAGCTGTGCCCTGGTGGTTAGTGCGCTCCCACAAGGGGAGCGCCTTTCAACCAGAAGCCAGACTCATGGCTGGCAAGTGCAGCGATAAGGACCCCTGGGGGAATATCTGACTGTCAGCAGGGAGCGGGCCTAAGCCAGCAGGTGGACATCCCCCAAGGGGTCCTGGACTGTGAGAGGGCCCAGGGCGGGCTGAGGGACCCTCTTCCCCCTCAGTGCATGAATGTCGTGCACTGGGCCTCTAGTCCTTCTATATTATAAAAGGCCAATATGCAAATCGACCAAACAGCAGAACTACCGGTCGCTATGACGTGCACTGACCATGCAGGAGCTGCCCCCTAGTGGTCAGGTCACTCAGCCAGAAGCCCTGAGTAAGGCTCACCACTGGTGATGGTGAGTGCAGCGGCAATGGCAGGAGGGACCCCTCTAGTATTAGTATATAGTCTTAACAATCTTTAACTTTAAGAACAATATAAATAGATGGCAGTTTGGGTTACAAAGAATACAAATGTTCAAAATAGCTAAGGCTAATGCATAATGTAACACCACTGTAGATAAAGTTGGTTTCTTACATTCAACATTGGATTGCTTCTAGTCTTTAAGATTTAATAATTACATAAGGGAAATAGAAATTTTCTATTTCAGAATTACAATTACAATAAAATAATTTTTTTGTGTGTTATTTAAAAGTTTCATTCCTCCTTCTTCCTTTACTTATTAGTTTAAAAAAAAAGTTGATTTCACCATCTGGTCACTGATGACATAAATTAGAAATTAGAGTTAATAATTTGACTTCCCTGCTATTTTTCCTATCTCATAAGCTCTGGCTAAAAAAAATTATATGTCCTCCTTCTCTAGATGTCTCTTGGGGATAGAGTATACAGTATAGTATAATGAGGGATTCGGTAAGAAGAGATGATCAGTAGAGACATAATAATGGGACTACATAATAAGAGCTATAATACAATTAATTTTGTATTTTTAAATATAGTATTTAAGAATGGGGTTATCCTCATAATTCTTAATCACTCACTTAATATACCTATTTGTTACAATATAAATTTATAAAATATAAATCAAAGGTTTTCTGAACAACATTGAATGCGGCACAAAAGGATGATGGCTTATCCCAATAATCATGTAGCCTAGCAACAATAATAATAACACCAAGCGTCTGCACAGCTGGAAAGCTAAAGACTGAAAACCAAAAAATAGATAAAATAGTGATAGAAACTAACATTAGCATGACACAAGAAAAGAATAATTCCTTTATTTCTTTAAAAGGGTAGTTGAAACTTGAATGTGAATTCTTAAGCTAGAGTAATGGTTTATGAGATTCAAACTGTGATAATAATTATTATTCTATTCTTATTTAGAAGCTTCAGTGTCACAATGAACCAGCTTTTTAATGCCATTTGAAATGCTGATTATTTTAGTTATTGAATATTTTATTATGCCTAAAATTATACTCTAAATTAGATTCTTAATCATATAACAATACTGTATTAATATTTATGTAAATCATAAGGAATAAAAAAAAACCCCACACTATGAATAGTGAATTTCAGTGTACCTTTGGAAGATAATCACAGCCAAGCAGTATTGCCAGTCCAACTAGAGCATCTCTATCCAAACCTAGGTTACTCTTGATAGATGACATTGTATAACAGTCAACGTGGGGGTCCTAAAAGAAAGCACAAATTTGTTTAATCTTCAAAATGTAAATGTTTATACATTAAACAGCATTACAAAAATGTGTCAAAGGTGTCTCTAAATATTTAATTATTCCCAGATGTTTAAATAGGAAAATTATCCTAATAACCAGAATCTTTGTAGAATCTAACACTTTAATATCTGGAAATAAAGTCATAGTTTCAAAAATGGCTAAACATTTCAGTATTCATTTTTCCCCTCTTTATTGCTTTCTGTATACAAAAGTAGATTTTCATCTTACAAAATTAAACACTTTACAATGTATATTACTGAAAGAAAACATTCCCTGTAATGGCAATTTCTAAAGTTAACATTATTAACAGTGTGGTACATATTCTTCCAAAATACCTTTCTTTTACACACATATTCAAATATTTGTTACTAAGCATATTTTAAGGAAAAACAGGATTATATAAAAGAAATATTTTGCAACATATCTTACCCGCTAATATATCTATGTATCTTTAATATTAATACTACATACCGTTTTAATAACTGCTTACTCTTACATTATATCAATTCTGAAGCAGTGTTTCTCAATGGGGATACTATAAGCATTTTCAGAGAGATAACAGAATTGTCTGGCAAGAGATTTAGCTTTCCTGGCTCCAATCCACCGAATGTCTATAGTCTCCCTTTCCCAACCTTGAATAGTTACAACCAAAATGTCTCCTAGCAGTATCTGCCAGGCTGAGAACCATGGCTATATTTAACTATTCTCTCTCATAGACATTTGGGTTGCTTATCAATTTTTGTAATTACTAACAATGCTGGAAATAATATCCTTGCATACCTCTCCATGCATATTTGGAGGTGTTTTTGAGGATACATTACTAAAAGTAGAAATTCTGAGTAAAAGCAATAAATTTCATATGCAATTTTATAATATACTTTTAAAACTAATTTAGAATTAAAGTATGTGAAACAAGTCAAACCCTTGGGAGAGAAATCTACATTTCAAAGAGAATGAACTATGTGGCAATGATATTTAATAACAGTAATAAGCATTTTTTCCATTTAATGATTTAGTAATTCCTTTAAAAATTTAGTTTGCAAAACAAATGCTGACAAAGAGAAAGAAAAAAATACCTTGGTATTCATAGTGAAATTCCTATAAACAGTCCGGGCCCCATAAAGGAAAGCATCCCCATCATTGGTGAGGCAGCCGTCCACATAACCACTGGCATCAAGGTAAGCGCACATGGCTTCTGCTTCCCCAGCAGCTTGGACCCAGGGAATTCCTAAGCATTCCAGCAATTCAAGACACTGAAAAGAAAAAGCAGATGCAAGAAATCTAAGAACATTATTATTGCTAATTTTTTTCACTTACTTTCCTATATTACAAACTAGAGGCCTGATGCACAAAATTTGAACAAGGAGCGCAGCCCTCACAGCCGCAGCGGCTTGCCTCAGCCCTCGCAGCCCTGACTTCGTCCGGAAGGTCATCTGGAAGGTTGTTCGGCTGTCTGGTCTAATTAGCACATTATGCTTTCATTATTATAGACTAGAGGCCCGGTGCACGAAATTCGTGCACTGGAGGGGGGGGGGGGGTGTTGTCCGTCAGCCCAGCCTGCACCCTCTCCAATCTGGGACCCCTTGGGGGATGTCTGTCGGCAGTCGGATATCCCTCTCACAATCCGGGACTGCTGGCTCCCAACTGCTCACCTGCCTGCCAGCCTGATCACCCCCTAAACACTCCCCTGCCAGCCTGATTGATGCCTAACTGCTCCCCTGCTGGCCCAATTGCCACCAACTGCCCTCCCCTGCCAGCCCAGTCGCCAACTGTCCTCCCCTGCCAGCCCAGTCGCCCCTAACTGCCCTCCCCTGCCAGCCCGGTCGCCCCCAACTGCCCTCCCCTGCCAGCCATCATGTGGTGGCCATCTTTGACCACATGGGGGCGGCCACCTTGTGTGATGGCATGAGGGTCAATTTGCATATTACCTTTATTATATAGGATTATTATAGATATTAACAGTGCTATTTACGTGTCTTACAAATTATAATACTTGCTTAATAGTATCTCAAGATTCTGGAAATATCTTTTAAATGATTAATAATCACATTAATATTTACGTCTGTAAAATTACAAAAATTCTCACATGATGTTGACAATGTAATATGAGGTGATTATGCAATTTGGCTTGAGGCTTTAAAGTTCTCTTCTTTTCCTTATATCATCTCTTCCCTATAATGAAACAAATGGTGGGAAACCACAGAGGGGTCAGCTGTTGATGTGTTCCTAGGAAGTCAAATGTCTGTGCAGAATGTTCCTATCGGTTTGCTGATGCATAAATAATCCCGAGTTTTCTTTGGATTATGAATTTAACCCAACTGAGCAGCATATAGTGTAGTCTTATATCCCAGTGTATTCTTTCTTGTCATGTATAATTCTCAAATTCTATTACTGGGGAATACTGGGTAAGGTGAAGAAACAAGGGCACTGTAGTTTGGAGAGACCGACAGAGTAAATAACATCTCTTTTGCTTTAACTGATCAATTGCTTACATGCCATATTACATAAGAAAAACCTCTGCCAGATGTTGCCCAACGTAGACAAGGTCCAAAAATACAAAGTACTATGTTGATAAGAAGGGTACTTTTCAGAAGACAAATTTTGTTACAGGTATTATTTTATGGCAACACTATAGTTGCTTCAACCTTCCTCTAGATAAGAAATATCCTTTCAGTATAAACAAGAGTTTGAAATTTATCTTAGATTCCAGTGCCATTTTTCATTTCAGCTCTTCAAAAACCAGCAGAGAATTTGTGATGAGCCTGGTTGTAAATTTTCCTACCCTAAATCCCTGTCATATTGAGGGTGGATGTGGTGTTGGAAGAAGACTAATTTGTGCCTTTCATGCTTATAACTAAAAGTTGGCAGTGGAGTAGGAGGAAGTAGGGCCTAGTAACTGAGGGCACAGAAATATGAAAATAATGGGCAGGTAACACTGAGCAAAATGTCTAAGAACACCAATTACTGTAATAAAGAAATAAGAATGGAGTAATTGTCTCAAAAAAAAAAAAAGAGATGGACATCTTTTTGAGTTATTCTGGGTATTTAATGCTCTAAGTATGTGTACCATGGTTATTTCCAGTAATTGTTTATGGAGGAAATAATTAGAATCCAGTACATATATTTTCTTCAACTATTGATAGTCATTAAGGTGGAATAGCCACTAATTAAAAACTATTTTTTTAAATATCACCTAAGAATAAAAACAGAATTTCAGGAGAAAATGATTATTAACTTATGCAATACCTTTTAAAGAAATAAAATTTTTAACCAAACTTAAAAAGAAAAACAGGAATATGAATTAAAAGCAAATATAACAAGTTTATATCCTTAATATATAAAGAACTTAAACAACAAAAAAATTAAAACTTCAAGAGATAAGTGGGGCAAAGACCATTATCCACAGAGGGACTAAAACTAGGTTAAATGTTTAACCTCACCATTAAAAGACCAATACATATTAAATATGTATTTATATGTATTACATAAACAAAGAAACATCTTTGATTTTGAATACTAAGTAATACAAAGATAAATCTCCTATCTTCAGTGTTCTTGTGGGTGCACTGAAATTGCTTATCTCATATCTATACTGGTGGAAAGTAATTGGTAGTAGCTATAAAATCATTCCTAAGCTTTGGTCTATCCATCTCACTTTGGGTAATTTTATCTTAAAAATCCCAAATCACAAGAAAAAACTATGTACACAAAAAATGTTCATCATAATTTCACATATAATGAAAGAGCTGAAAAACAAACAATATATACAATCCTGGGTAATGATTTCATAGCCTCATAAATGTTGCACAACCATTATAACAACAGGGAAATATGGATATGACATATTAAGTGAAAAGTCCAAGATAAAAATTATTTATGCACTATTATGGCAAGTTTTAAAAATATATACATTTGAAAAAAGACAAAATAATAGTAGTTTCCTATTGTTTTAATAATATATTTTATTTTATGGATAATTTTTTAACTTTTATAAAAATATATAATATTTTATAAGTAATATGTAAATATATTAAAATATAATAAGTACTTTTAAAAATTACAAAGCCCTAATGAAAGTCAAATATGCATGTTCAATGCATGAACTATTATCAATTCTGAATGAGTGAAGTATGAATTAATGAGATCTCTGTTCTGGGAATCCTTTAAGTGGTAAAGATGTCATAAAAGGTAACATGTATCAAGTCTCTACTATGTACTAGTTGATTAGATAATAGATATTTGTAGATTTTCTCTCATTTTCAGCACATCTCTGCAAAGTATTACTATTCTCATTCACAGAATAGGAAATTTTTATTTTAAATAAATTAAAAACGTGCAGAACACCTTAGAGTTTCAAGATGCGAGAGCCAGGCCTTGAACTTAGGTCAGTTTCACTCCAAAATATAAACTCTTCTCCACCCACACTGTCCTTCTATATACAATACAATAAGAATTATTAAATCAGATCCAAATGCTCACCTCTCTTAACACTGATTTAAAATGTGATCTCCCTGTTTTCTGAGACCATGTTTTTGCAGAAGGCCCATACCGAATTTGATTCCTCTTGTTTATGACATCAGCTTTCAGCTTTGGGGGTTCCCCTTCCATAACAAATACCAGTTTTACATCCATTAGTGTTAAATGTGAGATACGAAAAAACAAGTTCCTGAAATACAAAAATTAGTCATATATTAATCCTCATATATTGATAGCAAAAGTCAACATAGCAGCATGACGTTAATGGCAAGAACATTAGACTAATACCGAAAAGGTTATATGCAATAACATTTATTTTATTTTCACAGGACTGAGAAACTACTAAATGTTTTTTTGTTTGTTTTTTGAATGTTTTTAAGCAAGGGAGATTTATGATTATTTTAATTGCTATATGGAAAATGGTCTGGAGGAGGAGGATGAGGAAGAGGACGCTAAGAACTGAGGGAGGGAAGCCGGTGAAGAAGTCATTCAGCAGTATAGATGAGAGATGATGTTGGCATACACTGAGATGGTGCCTCTGGACATCAAGTAACGTTTATGAACAAACACAAAAGTTTCTTTTGAAAGTAGAACTGGCAAGACTTCTGAGGAACTGGACATTGGGCCAGGTAAACAGGGAGAGAATGGCTCCCAAATTTCTGGCTTACAGTCATGGCAACATCCAAGTAGATATGTTAAATAGGCAACTAAGCATGTGAGTCTGGAGTTCAGAAGGTAAGAGGCACAAATTTGTGAGTCATCAATACAGAGATGGCAGATCTAGACACATTAATATCTTTTAAAATCTCAAAACCAAGACATCAACTATTTATGTAATCATACATTTATATTCTAAGAACTTTACCGTACCTGAGGTGGGGCTTCGTGACAGTTCCAATCATTTTTTTGACTGTCTGTGATTCACATACCCAGAGGCTCAGATCAACTGCAATGGTTTTCCCACCAAGATTATTCAAGTGGATGTGTTGCTTAACGGGCTCCAAAATTTGCCACAAGTCACTCACTCCCATTCTGGTTATTATCGGCTGTTATTAGAAACGCACTTTTCAAAAATTGTTAATAAACACAGAAGCTTAGAACAGGAATTCAAGCAATATATTATGACCTACATAAGAATAATTCATAGAGGATTCTACTTATTTCTTTCACTAGTCAGCTTTTCGGAATCAACCAAGAATACCTAAGCCATTAAAAATGGTGGTAAATGACATACTGGTTAAAAAATGCTGATGCAACGAATGGATGATAAGTAATTTACATGTCACCAAATCTGGGTTTCTTTACAGTACTTAAAAACAGTTATTTTTAAATTTAACATAACTGAAATATTAATGGTCGCCTTTGTCCTTCCTCATTCTTCCCTCTTCTTTTCTATGTCTTCTTTAGCAGCAGCTGAGAATAACATTTTTCACATGGTTACCTGAACATTGTATGAAATTTAGAAAATAAAATATTACCCCCCAAAACGTAATGGTGATAATTGGCTTTGTTCCAGCTAATAACAAGAACTAACAAATGCAAGACAGGTAGAAAAACAGAGGTGCTATAAATCATATTTATCTTATTGAAAATTCATTCCTTGATTTTTCACACCAGCCTCTATCATGATCAGGAAAAACAAAAAAACATAAGCAAGGAACCATGTAAACAAAGCAAATAAACCAAAGGAAAAAAATAAGAGGTTAATGAAGGAAAACACTGAAGACAGAAAATGGGAACTGGAGGAATATGGAATTATCTTTTCAAAGAGCACTGACGGGCTTTTTAATTACAAGGTCTCACGTGTTCATTGTGGAAAAATAAACAACTGTAAAATACAAATTTTTTAAAAAATATATATTTTATTGATTTTTTACAGAGAGAAAGGGAGAGGGATAGAGAGTTAGAAACATTGATGAGAGAGAAACATCGACCAGCCGCCTCCTGCACACCTCCTACTGGGGATGTGCCAGCAACCAAGGTACGTGCCCTTGACTGGAATCGAACCTGGGACCTTTCAGTCCGCAGGCCGACGCTCTATTCACTGAGCCAAACCGGTTTGGCTAAAAAACAAATTTTTAAATCACCCATACTTACACGATCCAAATAAAACTATTGTTAAACTCTTTTCTATGTCCATGAAATTTGAAAAACAAAATTGGCTTAAATTCTGCTATTGTAATAACCTCTTTGGTATTTTCTACAGGCCAGTTTTTCCTTATTAAACATCTATATCTGTTTTTCTTTCCCTTTGTTATTATTTGATAAAAATGTTATGCAGCATTTGCAATGATTCAATCTGACTATACATACATACATACATACATATAATCCAGAGTATCATCCTCTCAATAATGAACTTCATTCCAAAAACACAAGGTTGGATAACAACAACAACAAATAAATTAAGTCAAAAGGCTATCTCCATAATGCAAAACCATTCTAAATAAAAATACTATATTGTCTGTTCCTTTAAGTATTATTTTGTGCACTCATTTTTATGAAGAACTTGCACAAGTATTTGCTGATATCTCAACATACAAAGAAAAACATTCAGATTTGAAGGCACAGAATTAGGTAGTTAATGGTGGCGCAGTGCTAACATTGTCTATTGCACAACAAGAAGCCCCACTGGTTAGAATGCACACTATAGCATAGATTCAGAGTTAAGATTTCATCCCTTTGTTCATGTGAAAAATTGCACTTACTTCTGGAAAAAGAGTGAGGCACATACATTTTCTAAGGCATTATTATGAACAGAAACGAGACAAATATTAACCATCAGAACACATAAAAATTAAAAAAACAACAACGAAGTTTGAGGGGGAGTTCTTTTTAATAGTTTTGCTTTCCTTTTATTTGTGAAGCAAGCTGTTTACTGGAATGGCTTATTATTGAAGGAAATTACGCAATTCTTCTCTCCGGAGGACAATTATCATGACTGATCTTATTTTATTATATGTGACCCTGACTCTAGCTGTCAAATTTTAAATGCCAGTATCTTCTGACTTACATAGCTCTCCTAGGAATTTATTTTAAGATGCACTTAGGTGTGTGCAAGATGTATGTTCAAAGATAGTCACTGTGGCATTTTTTTTTAAATCCTTACCCAAGGATGTTTTTACTGATTTTAAAGAAAGAAAGGAGAAACACTGATCAGTTGCCTCCCACGTGTGCCTAACCAAGGATCGAACCGCCACCTAGATATGTGCCCTGACCAGGAACTGAACCCATGAACAGCTGACTGAGCCACCTGACCAGGGCAACTGAAGCATCTTACCTAATAATAGACAAACATGTAAATTGACCGTCTCTCCACTATGCACACCAGCCAATCAGGAGTATGCAAATTAACCCAACAAAGATGGCAGTTAATTTGCATACGTGGGCGCAAAGCGGCGGAGCCCAGCGAAGACGGAAAGCTCCGGGCAGGAGCCACAAAGATGGAAGGCTCCAGGCCAGAGCGAAGGCCTGGGCCCTGGAGGAAAACCGGTGCCGGCAGCCAGGGGAAGGGAAGGCCTATTGCATGAATCTCTTCGTGCAACGGGCCTCTAGTATTTATAATAGTAAGACAGTGGGGAAAAACAAATGTCCATGAATAAACGATACATCTTTGATATATTCAAACAATGGAATAGATGGTGCAGCAAATAAAAATGGTATAGATCTATACATACTGGTCCTGGCCAGGTAAAGCAGTTGGTTTCCATCCCATATGTCAAGGTTGTGGGTTCGATCCCTGGTCAGGGCAATACAAGAATCAACCAATG